CACCACAACCACCACCACCATCACCACCATCACCACAACCACCACCACCATCACTATCATCACCACCACCACCACCACCTCCACCACTATCACCACCACCACTATCACCATCACCATGACCACCACCACCACCGCCACCACCACTATCATCACCATCACCACCACCATCACCACCACCACCATCACCACAACCACCACCACCATCACCACCATCACCACAACCACCACCACCATCACTATCATCCCCACCACCACCACCACCATCATCACCACCACCATCATCACCACCACCATCACCACCACTATCATCACCATCACCACCACCACCACCACCACCACCACTATCATCACCATCACCACCACCATCATCACCATCATCACCACCACCAAAATCATCATCACCATCATGACCACCACCTCCAACTCCACCACCATTATCACTACCATTCCCACCATCATCATCATCATCTCCACCACCATCACCTACACCACCATCATCATCATCACCTCTACCACCATCACAACCACCACCTCCACCTCCACCATCATCATCATCACCTCTACCACCATCACAACCACCACCTCCACCTCCACCATCATCATCATTACCATTCCCTTAATAACAGTTATTATCATTGAACACCTACTATTCCAAACTATTATATCATTTAGACACCTAAATAACTTGGATAGGCAGGCATTATCATTTTCGCTGTATTTACCATCAGCAGCAGCAGCAGAAGCAGCAGCACTGCCACCATTATACTTATTATCACCACTTTATTCATGAGATCACTGAGGCACAGAAAATTTGAGAAATTTCCCCAAGGACAAGCAGGTATATCCAAAACACTTCCATGTGGTTAGTTCAAATTCCATAAAATAAAGATGTCTTTGTTTTGAGTACTGTAACTTAAAAATATATTAAAATTCTCAATTTAATAGTAGCTTTGTATAGCTATGTTTCTAATATCCACCATGTTATATCAGAAATAGTGTAGGTGGTAGATATTTTATTTTAGCTTTGTCTAAATGAAAGAGTTCATACACAACATGGGCATTATCCAATGAAGATTTTGGTTCCTACATTATAAATACGAGAGAAGGTGAATGGGAGAAGAAGACAGATGTAACACTGAAGATGTCAAAAATATACAGAAGATGCCACAGGCAAACAGGCCATTGAACACCCAGAAATTCTCTGAAGGGGCCAAGAAGTCAGAGGTGCAGGAAATGGACATGAAGACAGGGAGGCAATGCCAGACATCCTCTCCCTAGCAGTAGGACGCCCCTGACAGCGAGAGGATGGACTGGAAATCATACAAGGGTTCAGGGAGGTAGTACAAGAAAGAACTAATACATGGTTAACACTACTTATAAGAAATAATCATAGTTAACACATCTAACACAGTAACCATATAGAAAGCACCATCCTAAGAACATGACCTATGTTAGGTCATTTAACCCCATCAAAACCTTATAAATATCAATTAGGCACTACATTTATTCCAATTTTAAAGTGAAGAAACGGAGGCAGGGAAGGGCCATTGTGAAGGTTGCACATGTAGAGAAGAGATGTTTATAAGATGATAGATCTAGTGACAGAGGTTGAAAACTATTCTTTATTGCTATTATACAATTATTATTTATGAACTACCTAAAGAAGTTCAAACAGGAATGGTTAAAAAGATTGATTTTCAGCAGTAGGGCTAGGATGGGGTGCAGAGGGATGTTGAACAATTACCTGTCATTATAACCTCATTAGAACTCTTTGATATGTGACCATGTGCATATATTATTTTGAATCAAAAATTCAAATAAGACAGTTATAAAGGGCAAGGTGGAAAGCCTCTCTTCCCCAGTAGTAGGTACTGTTCATATTACCTTATATATTCTGGAGATATTTTCTCCATACATATAAGCATGGGGCATATTCTATATATACACCTATATATTTTATTATTGTTCATATGCAATCATATGATTTAGATCATTCTGTATAATAACTATATGTAATAATTACACATTTTGTACACACTGCTTCTTGTTTTGCTTTATACACCTAATAATACATCATCATACTGTTCTTGTCCATAAACATAGCTCTGTTTTATTCCTTTTAAGAGCCGTACACTGCTCCATTTCTTTCATGGAACGGCATTTATTTAAATTTCTCCTGTAAAACCAAGGCTGCAATGCTCACTTTTGTGCAGGTTTCCTATATGCTAAAATCCTGTAAGTGGAATTGATGTGTTAAAAGTGGTGGGTATTCATTTTGCGCCAACCAATAATATGGGGGCACCTCTTTTGCCTCATCCTGATCCACACTGGATGTCACCGTTTTTTATTTTTTTAATTTATTCCTTCTGGGAGATGAAAAAACAGAATTTTTCAGTCTTCTGTTTTCATTTTTTGCAACAGTGAGTTAAGACTTAGCATGTGTACACTTACTGACCATCTGTATTTCCTTTTGTGTAAACTCCTGTCCAAATCCTGCTTTGGTCTTGTTTCATGGGTTATTGGCTTTTTACGTGGTCATTGAAAGGAGCAGTTTTTATATTAAAATTTAGCCCTCTGTGAGTAATATTTCTTCTGTTCGTCATTTAAACTTTTTTTCTCGAGATACAAAAGTTATAAAATTTTATGCAGTAAACTTTATGAATATTTTCCTTTATAGCACCTAGATGCTGTGCCATGTTTTGAAAGATCTTCTCCACTTAAAGATTCTGGAAACATTTACCCTGATTCCTCCTGATTCTCCTGTAGTATTATTTCATGTGTCTCCCTATCTTTGATCCATCTGAAATGTATGTTAAGAATTCTCCTTTCTTTCCCTCTTCAAAACCAAACCAAAACAAAAAACAGTCCCACAACAAAAAACCATATATAGTTATTTTAAAATCTAAACTTCTCAAACCTCACACCAACATCAACAGACCCAGGCGTTAGTAAGATCAAAGAATGTGAGTATGTTTTCTTTTTCCTTTTCCTATTAAATTCAGATAACATCTTTTTCAAATACAGGTTTATAACAGAGGATATGAGCATCAGCTTTTTAAAGTCTCTATAAACTTTGGAAATATAATTCTAATAATTTATAATTTTAAGTAAAAATTTCAATTATTTGTTCCACTGAATGTAAATTGACCTGTATTTCTATTACATAAAACATATCCAAAATTTCTTAATTTTTTTTTTTTTTGGTCTTTTTCGTGACCGGTAAGGGGATCGTAACCCTTGGCTTGGTGTCGCCCGCACCACGCTCAGCCAGTGAGCGCCCCGGCCATTCCTATATAGGATCCGAACCCGCGGCGGGAGCGTCGCTGCGCTCCCAGCGCCGCACTCTCCCAAGTGCGCCACAGGGTCGGCCCCCAAATTTCTTAATTTTAAGACACACAATCTGGCCGGCCCGGTGG